TGTTCACTGCAGCCTCATTCCTGAGGGGCCGAAAGGTAGGGACAGACCTAGTGTCCGTGGGCCGATGGATGGGTGGACAAATACAGGACATACACACCATGGAGCGTCATCCCCTTCAGCAGAGGAAGGGAGCCCTGACACCTGCCACACGTGTCATCTCAGGGGATCAGAAAGGATGAACCTTGAGAACATTATGCTGCGGAGAATAAGCCAGACACCAGAGGACAAATACTGTGAATCTAGTTACATGAGCTACGGAGAACAGGACAATTCAGAGACAGAAGGCAGAATGGGGTGCCAGCGGCCGGGCAGGGGGTGGGGGGTGGCTGTTCAGTGGGAGCAGAGTTTCCTTTGGGGAAGATGAAAAAGGTCTGGAGATGGTGGTAGTGATGGCTGCTCGCCAGCGTGGATGGGCTTAGGGCCACTGAATCGTACACCTGAAAACAGTTAAAATGGTAAATTTCATGTGATGTATGTTGTATCGCATTATTAAAAAAGGAAAAAAAGGAAAAGAGGGGCAGTGGGTTTAGCATCGTACAAAGACGGACAGTTGTGGGGATGGTAGAGCTCAGTGGGTGCGCCCGTGCCCGGCAGGCACGGGGTCCTGGGGGAAGCCCCCAGTACTGCCATCTAAATGAATAAATAAGTGAATAAGGAAGTAAATCAATACATAACATCTTTCCTGCCTAGACTTTTGCAAATCCCCACAGCTCCGAGCTGGGCACCCTTCCCCAAGGAGACTGAGAGGGCCCTTCCCATCGTGTGAAACGTGGGGTGGCTGTCCAAGCATGTGTCACTGCGGCCAGCTGCCTCTGAGCCCCAATGCTGCTGGAGGGGTTTCCTCATACCCCTCTCACTGACGATCCACAAGAACCCTGAGCGGAGACACCGTTTTACAGAGAAGAAAGCTGAGGCTCAGAGAGGTTAAGCAACTTGGCCAGGACCACACAGCCAGCAAAACCAGACATGAGTCACAGGCTTCTCATCTATCCGATGGAGCTGCTTCCTCGGAGGTTCACCAAGGACTGAACCATGGAGCTGGTGGTCCCCTTGCACAGACAACAGGAATGAAGGGAAAGGCATCACACACAAGGGAACAGGCGAACAGCGCCTTTCTCAGACACTCGCAGACTCACCTCATGGTAGGCAGTCAGGTGCTGAACGACCTCAGCTATGGAGGGGTCCTCAGTGAGGGTCGAAAAAGAATGCTTTGATTTTTTGTTCTTTTCTTCTTCGGCCTCCTTCTCCCTGGCCTTCTGCAGTGCACCCCGGTACACCTTGTCCTGGCAGTAGACGATCTGCTCCATTTGGAAGTGCAGTCGGATCACCTTCTCAGCTTCATTTTCTAGATCTAATTTAATGTCCTCAATTTTGGACTACAGCAAAAGAGAAACATGACAACATTTACCTCTGGAATGAATCAGGGGGTCGGAAGCAAATAAGTCCTCTGCAAGGGCCACCCCCAGCAGGTACCAATTTCTGCCCAATGTGGCCAGCTTCTCCAAGGCGGGCTCCCGCTCCTGGTGGAGGTCAGAATTTCCCAGGGAGCCCGAGCCTCACGGGTGACCAGACCCCTCATCCCCAGGGCCGGGGACCAGCACGGGCTCCATTCTCACGTCTCATTTCCAGCCTCCTTTCTCTTTTACAGTCTTTCCATCTGACAAGGAAGAGTGTTTTTCTACCAGAGAGCTCATAGGCATAAGTAGGGGCCAGATTTAAATCGGGAAATCACATACATTTCATATTCTGGAGTTCAGAGAAACTGGCTGCCAGAGAACCAGGAGGAAACCCTTCAGCCAGAAGGAATCTGGACCCCCAGACTTCACTGGGTACCACTGAGGGTGATGTGTGACGCCAGGTGCATCCTAAACCTTTTCTTCTATGTTCAGTACAAACTTCTGAAGGAGGCCTTTTTTTTTTAGAAGTATGGTTTGCTTACAATGTTGTGTTAATTTCTGGTGCACAGCATAGGGATTCAGTTATATATACATATATCTATATATATATATTCCTTTTCATATTCTTTTTATTATAGGCTATTA